CATAGCGCATTGCGCACGTGTAATGTTTAAGGATCTCTTAGTAAAGCACGTGCGCGTCAGAGTGTCCCTGGTCCGACCTTATCATTCATCCTTTATTGTGATATAGTTTACCTTAGTTTAGTGATACAATTTATCTTTGTGCTGGGCAGCTAAAGTTTTTAACATCAAACGCATCCAATCCCTTCAGCCCAAAGTCCTCCGAACAGTAGTCGATGCTCCGTTTTATATAACCAACAAAACCCTACACCATGACCTTAACATCCCATTTGTCCTCAACCTTTACTCAAAAAAATTACTCAAAAAAATTACTCCAGAATCTTACGTATCATCCAAATCTCCTTGCACAATCCCTATCTAGAACAACCCGTCCCAATAATTCTTCAAGAAGTTTAAAACGGCTGCGACCTTTTGTAATTTGTACATATTGGAGTTCTGGCAATCGCTCAATCTGCATTGGCTTTAGCCTCGGTGTTGCGGATGAGAGAGTAGTGCAGAGATCTCCTGTAGTTCTGCTTTTCCCTGTATAGTTGGAAGTACAAGAATGGCTTGGAGTTTCCTCGCTTTATTTTAAATAGTGAATATGTCTGTTGTTTTTTTATTTACTTAACTTTAAGTCACTATATTTTTATTAATTGTATACAGTTTTTGATTAATATTTAGTTGTTACATTGCTTCTTTTTATTTTATATATTGTATATATAGTGCTACTGTAGTATTTATTACCTGACTACCATTATTGTCCAGGTTACAGAATGTTATATTCATCAGTAAATAAATACTAAAAAAAAAATCAAATTCTTTCATAGTTTCTTTTTACGATTAATTATTTCAAATAAACAAAATCATAGACAGGCACTTAGAGGAAATAAATGAAACTAACTGAAATAAAACTGAAGGGATAAACAGGTACTTTAATTTTAACAATTCAGCCTAGCTGACTATTTCAATAAAATTATATACTTATTAGATATTAAATACTTTGCAATTTTACATGGATATGATGAATTTAATTGAAACCGATAAATCCATTTTTGAGAATTTTGTAGAATATTCTAAAATTATTACACAAAGTACCACTTTTAGTTAGTTGTTTTAAATTATTCTATGCCTAATATTAATTTTAATGAAAAAAAAAATCGAGTTGTCCCACTTTTATTTTGGATGTGCAGTACCCTCTTGAAGATTTTTACATCATACCCATATTTTAACATGAAATGGCAAATAAAATTTCGAAAAATCCATTATATTTCTTTCAGGTTTTGTGTAAGGAAAGCAATAGCTTTAGAATACAGATCATTTTGTTGAAATCGCGGCAGATTTAATTCAGTTTTATGTTTTATTCAGATTTTTAGTGTTTTTATCTTGCACCTACTTTTTTTTTTAATTCTCTCTGTATCTAATTTTCATTTTAGGTTTGAAGGAAAAGGCATTTTCAACAACTAATATTTGTTTTTTTTTATTTACATAATTATAATCTCGAAGCAACAAATATTCATCTACTTCACAATAACTATGTTTATGATACAAGCACATTTACTATTTATTACAATAACTATTTATATTCCTAGGATAGGAAGTCCTTTTTTTTTTATTATATATCTTTTTTTTTTATTTTAAGTTAATTTAAGAATTAACATCATTGAGTACATAAAGAATTTACAATAGTGTTAATTTAATATGAATTAAAATATTTTAAAAACGTTACAATAATCCCTTAGACAAAATTAAGTATGCTTTTTAAAACTATAAAATAAAGGACGTAATTTTCAGTTGTACTCACTTAAAAGTCTTTCATAAAATGTAAAAGTTTTTTTGTATTTTGATTATAATTTATATTTGAAACTATACCTTAAAGCTGTATATACATCTAGCCAATTGCTGGTAATTACAGAACTATGAAGGTTTTCTAATAAATAACGTGCGACAAAATAACTATCACAGATAATAACTTTTAAATACACAAAGACAGATCCAAGCACTTTAAATATAATATAGATTACAGTTATGACACTTTGAATTCCGGATATTTTTTTTTTTTTTTGTAATTGAATACATGATCTCTAAATTTTTACACACTAAAACATTTATATATTTACACTGTAATATACATTTAAGAATTTATAACAGTGCTTTCCATAAATAATTACTAAGTACTAAAAGAGTTACTAGAATTATCACTAAAAAAAAAAAAAGAATAAAATAAAAGAAAGGTTTATCTTATATAGACACTATAGTAATAAAAGCACAGGGGAGGCACATAGACGTAACTTCTCAGTCATAAACGTTTGTGCAGATGTGATGAATAAATCATTTGTGAATAGTCACCCAGCTTAATCTAATTTATTGCTATTAACAGTTTGCTTAATTCAATAAATATAATAAAGTCATTAGCTACATCTCACTCACGCATACACATATAAAAAGAAATTACATTAAATCTCTTACATAGATCTGGAGAAATAGATAAATTTTGAAGAATATTTTGTTTGTTTTTTATCAAACTTTTAAAATATAAATTTATATACACCCAAACACAAAAAAAAAACGGTACTGTTATAGATGGATTATTATTTTTAATATTAATATGAATATACCCAAATTTATGTCTTTATCGTATTTATTTTCTTAATGGTATCGAATTATAATGTTAATACATCATTATCCATGAATGCCATCACTCAATTAGGGGTATAATAGATAACGAAATATAAATATTATTTCATAGTTTTGGATTTTTCTTTAATTATTCTCTCTTTACTTCTATAGGTCTGTAGGTTTCTATCGGTCTTTTAAATCCCTGCCCACACCCCCTGGCCCAGGAAAACCCCGTATAGCCTTAAAGGGGAGGGAACGTAAAAAGAAGGTTTCTATAAGTCCAATTTAATAAACAATTGGAAACTATTTATAGTATTTTTCTTTATTTTTTTTATTTATTCGTTTCACAATACTTTTTCTTCCTCTTCAGCCCTAAATCTATTTTAATCTTAATGTTGAGAGTTAGATCATTCACCAAGTTTACTCCTAAATAAGACATCCAATATTGGGTCAAATTATGTAAATAGGTTACTGTCTCAATAATTGTATATAAAATAAAATCATTTAATTTAAGTTGAATTAAATGTAAAATGTTATTAATTTTAAAATTTATATATATATATATATATATATATATATATATATATATTTAGAATATAATATATTTTTATTTGTAATCTCCTTAGTTTTGACAAAATGGAATATAATTTAATAAAGGAATGTTAAAAAAATAAATAAATAAAATTATAAATGGCTGGTTCAAAATAGAACCTGTAATGTATTATATATATTAGATGCTGAAGAGTGGAGAAAAAGTATAGCTAAAAAGTACAAATAAAAATAAAAATAAATTGATAAGCTATAAATTCAGTTATTATTTATCTAATTGGACCTACAGGCAAGAAGTAAGGAAATAACAGAATAATTAAACAATAAGTAATGACATTTTCAGAGGTTATTCCTGCTTTAAATAATAAGACATTTTTTTTCATACATGTTTTTTATGAATTATGAAAAATCATTAATCTTTAATTATAATTTAAGCATAGCAGTTACAGTAATTCGGTTTTTTTTTTCATTATGTGTTATTTTCGACAGTTGTATACCGTTTAGATAAAACACGGTTAGCACTCTCTTGTTCGATAAAACAACTGTTTAAATGAAAAAAAAAAAATGTTTTGAATTTCAACAAAACAAAAACTTTTACAACTTGTATTTTATGAATGAATGGAGCCAGAAGAACTTCATTCAATATTTATTTATTAGCCAGGCTGTATAACAAATTCCTCAAATAGTACCTTCTGATTTTTTTTTTTTTTTTAATTATAAAACATGTATAATTTTTTTTTGTAATGAACGAAACTGTAATGCATTGTTTTGTTTTTTTGTGATCGAGCATATTTTATTAACGGCAAGAATAAAAAAGATAAATCTTAATGTAGTTTTTTAAAAAATTAAATTAGTTTTCTATTTAATTTTTTTTGCAAATAAACACTCCATCTTTTGTGCCAAGTTCATACTTTATGCGACTCTTTTTTTTTTTTTTATAAATTGAATTCAGTTCGAATGAGCAATTTATCCCTTAATTGATTAATTAAGTTGAGACTTTTCTTGATATGTTTCGGTTACAATACTTTTTTTTATCTTATCATTATGAATTAGTCCTGTTCTACTATTTAAATATTTTTTTATTTTCGCACACGCACTTATTTAAAAATAACTATATCCAGTTTGAAGATGTGAAAAAGTGCGTGTTGCTGATATGTGAAATTACTGTGATAGGCCTATAGTAATCACATAAATATACCATACAAAATACACATTTCACATACTATCTATAAAATATGTTTTGTCCTTTAGACACTAAAGCTAGTTTAAACCACAAAATGATATGTATTTGTTCGTCCTTGGTTGAACACCTTACCTCTAAAGCTAAATGCAATAGCCGACGATATCACAGTGCTAAAGCTGTAATATTTTATTATAGCTATAACACTATAATATCCCCAGTCGATATACACATTAGTAGACACATCTTAATATACTTCATACCTAAGTCTAATATTTTTCAATATGAAAATATATACAGCTATAAATTATATAACTTATCCAGCATACCGATGCATTGGTTAAAATTCAACAACATTTATAATATTTCCTTCTAAATTAATTAACTATATACTTAAAGAAAACATAAATAAAATTAAACATTGGTAACGATAGTTCTGATATAAATCACAGAAATTTAACATTAAAAGCAACATAACTTTTTACATTGTTTAATTTAACAACAACCTGACAAAATCTAAATATTTTATAAATAATAATAATTTTCTTCATACATTTTTATAAAATATAAAATAATCTTGTAATTAACTCAATAACCTCTTCCTTATAAAAAAAAAAAAAAGAAAAAAAAAAGAATCATATATGTAAAAATGGTTTTCGTTTGGTCATCATTTCTACTTATTCTTTCTTTCATAAACCTTACCATTCATTGAAATATTGCACTACTCCTCTTACGTTTAAAAAAAAACGCTTCTATGATCTTTGAGTTAAATATATAAATTTTAATATTTACATCAGTTAAGCATTAAAATTTTATGTTGTAATAGACCAGTTTTAGCCTTGAAAATGGATAATTCATAAATATTTTTGAAGTTCTTACGAATGTGTAAGGAAACATTTTCATGAATATTTGAAACATAGAAGGACTAAGAACTTGATAGAATTGAAGACCAATTAAACCTTTTTAAAACTTTATATAAAATAATCCAAAAGTGTACTAAATTAATTTCACCAGATACGTTTCTCCTATTTGTATGGACTTAATACTAGATAAATTGATGCTATCTTTCGTTGCTCTTATCCATGTAGATATGTTTTTACTAATTTTGAAATAAATATTTTCGAGCAATCTAGATAAAGATGACCGTTGATTCCTCTAGAAGCCAGATCTAAATGGATTCCTATCGTGGTCTGTCGGTTCTGGTCTTCGGAAAGGATTCGTGTCCGATGGCGCCTGAGGTAGTTGACGATGTGACTGTTGTGGTTCGGGCCTTGTGTACTGTTCCTGCCTTTGTTGGTAATCCGGTCTTGGTTGTTGGTAATCCTGTCTTGGTTGTTGATAATCCTGTCTGGGTTGTTGATAGTCTTGCCTTGGCTGTTGGTAATCCTGTTTCGGTTGCTGAAATTCTTGCCTTGGTTGCTGGTAGTCTTGCCTTGGTTGCTGGTAGTCTTGCCTTGGTTGTTGGTAATCTTGCCTTGGTTGCTGGTAGTCCTGTCTTCCTTGAGTATAGTCCTGCCTCGGTTGCTGGTAGTCTTGTCTTCCTTGAACAGGTTCTGGTCTTGCAGGAGTCTCTTGCTTGTAGCTCGCTTTATCAACGTTAGTCTCTTGTACTCCCCTATCCATCTCCAATTCTAGGTGATTTTTTACTTCGTCCATTACAGGCTGTTGATCTTGCATTGTATACGTTTGATATTTCTTATCAGGTGGATCGGACATCAGTATATTAGCTTCATTTTCAAATGGTTTAAAATCATATATATGCCTCAAGTACATCAATACTGGAGCGTACAGAAGGTTAGAAAACGCTATTCCAATGTTGAGCCATGTAAATCCAATGGCTTCGACCACTCCGCCAGCTATGATAGGGCCTATTGCATATGCTACGGAATATGAGATATCAGCTATTGCATAAATACTACCATAAACTGAAACATAACGTACATCTACCAAGTAACCTAGGGTTGGAAGGAGAGCAGTATCGATGAGGGCAATTCCGAAACAAATTCCACAGATCGGAATCATCAGAACTTTGTAAGATGAGGAGAATGGAATGATGAAGCAGCATAGGCCTTCTAGTGCTAAGCCTCCAGCAGCCATCAACCACTGATAGTTTGGATATTCTTTCGCCATTTTCACTGTCAAGACCACTCCTAAAACATGAGGGAAAAATGCAGGAAGCCATATCATTCCAATCTTCCAATTATCAGTCGTCAAATGATCTTCCATCCAGAGAGAAATAGTCGGTTCTAAAAACGCTAGAGCAACATTTGACATCATCAATGCACCTGAACACACAGCAATGTAAGGATCAATGAAAAGCCTCCAGATAGGTACTGTGTCCTTTTGGGCGTGCATTTGTCGATTTTCTTTGATTGTTTCTTTGATGGGTTTCATTACTAGAAGTAACATTATGCCATCGGCCAGCGACACAAAGGCCAGAATCAAGAAAGGCACCTCCTTACCTGCGAATTGATATAATGCGCCTCCGAAGGGTGGAGCTACAAGGCAACCGAAACTGATAAAAGCCAATGCTATCCCTAATGCTTTGGACCGTTCAGATTCTTCCGTGAAGCGATCAGCAATCATTGCTAATCCTGATGTATCGGCGAAGGCGGAGCCAACACCCTGTAGACTTCTTGCGAAGAAGAGGACTCCATAACTACCGCCGCAGGCAAAGACGGCTGTCGAGAGAAACATTATGCAGAGACCTACCATCATCGGCATGTCGTACCCGATCCTGTCTATGAGCGCTCCGGAAAAGGGGTTGACCATGAGCTGAACTATGGCCTTAGAGGCGAAGAGGACCCCGGTGGCCCTGTCTTGCCCGTGATGATCCCTCGGGTGCGGCACTCCATTCATCGTGAAGTTGGCTTCGGGTTCTTCCCCCCAGGTGCCGACGTAGCGGAGGTAGTCCGGGATGATGGGGACGATGACCATGTACAACATGTTGTCTAAGAGCAGGGCGATGGACACGATGACCAGCACCAGCTTGCGCTGCGACTTGGGCTCTTGCAGCTTTGCCCACACAATGTCCTTCATCTCGCCCACTTCGAGGTTGACCAGCGGCACGGTCCACCTGCTGACTCGGTTCCATATCGCCTTGAATGGATTCGGGTCCGCCATTTTTATTGACTATTTCTTCGTTTGTTTACCTAAAGTACTCCCTCATGTCCGCTTCTGAGACTGCTTCGCTCCGTCCGTAGATCACTGCCTCACCCATTCTTTTCCCAGCATGATCACAAACCTTTAAAAGATACAAAAAAACGGAATTAATTTCATTTTCAATTTCTAGATTAATTTTATTTTAATTAAATTGAATAATGTTCAATTTCTGAATTATTTGAAATACTTTAAATCCGATTTGTATCCCATCAAAGGTGTGAGATCATTAATAAAACATTTATTCATGTTCCTTCAGTCAGAACCTTTTTGTGTATCACAAGAAGGTTCGACTCGAAGGAAGCTGCAATAGATATAAACATTATTCATCATAATGCAATTTGAAATAATTCTGTGAGCTACAAATATAATATATAATGTATAATACATTTTAATGATATACTGATTTTTGAATGATTCATTTATCTTTATATAGCTTTAAAGTATCACTTTTTAATTATAAATATTTTTAAAGGAAAACATATTTTTCAAAAAAAAAAATCAAATAATTTCAGAGAAAGGTAATTTTTATAATAAAGTTTTGTTTATAATAAATATTTATAACGATCATGATTATCAATAATCATGGGCTAACATAATAATATCGTGTGCATAGGAAGATTGTAGTTGTTTAATAACTGTCGACCAATTTATAATTATAGCCAATTGATATGATTTTTTTAGAAATAAAAAATAAAATGTAGGTCGGCCACTTTGAATTTTGATAAAGGATACGATTTGATTGCTGTTAAATAACCATTCTAAACAAGGGTAAGAAGTCTAGAATAAATTAATCTAAAAAGTAAAATAAAAAAACAACAAAATGTTTATTTTATTGATCTTAAGAGGATTTATTAGGAATATTGGGAAGGCAGGTTGATGCTGTTAAAATCCTTCATAATTCCAGAAAAATAATTTTGTCAAAATTAGTTCTGAAAATTTCCTTATAAAAAGCAACCAAACAAGCGTAACAAATGAAATAATTTAGAATGAACGATATACACCATTAGCAATCCTTCGCCCAAATGCATTGAAGATGTAAGCGGCATCAGAGAGACATGTTTATGTATAATATAATATCAAAATAACATGTTTAAATATATTATCAATATAGTCTTTTTAAAATACTCAATTGGTGAAACGTCATACTTCAACACGAATTGTAACAATTTACTTAATAAATGATTAACTTGTCCCTTGGAAAAGATTTTTCAAGTTAAATAGATAAACAAAACGATTAAGTTATCTCTAAACTTACACTAATTTATTAATACACTCGCATAAGTTTTGTGAAGACCAGCCTTAGTATGTAGTTCCCTTACTTTTACTTGCTAAGTAGTCTAGCATTGCGTGTATCGAAAACATAACTGGATATTTTTTTCTATTTACAAAAATGTCAAAAACTATCTTTTCGTGTCATAAGTACCAAAGAGATCAATGAGCGATCCTCCATTTAGTATTTTTTTTTTTTTGGTCTATAAAAATGAGTCAGTTTTGTTGACAATCAGCAAATGAGATGGAGATACAGGAAATAATGGCATGTCAGGAATAGGAAAGGAAAGTTCTCAAGCAGCACCTCTTCCCTAACTTGTTTCAACGTCTTAGGTTATTTAAGAAAGAAGATCTCTCATCCAACACCTTTTTAGCCTCCTCTTCATGTTGTAAGGTATGTCAGCTATTGCCATGTCTCTTATAAGTCTATTATTATGTCTGTTTAAATGAGTGTAAAATCGTTGATAAAGGGTAGTTAGTTATATGTTGGTCAACTGTTGGAAGGTGGAGGTCAGTATGTAGAGTTTTGTTAGTCACGTACCAAAATGCTTTTTTTATGAGTTGCAATAATTTTGATTGGAAGTTTTTGTAGGTGAGTCTTTTTAGCGATATCATATATTTGTTGTGAGTATGTTCATATGGGCAGTTTCAGCTTTGAAGATTTAGAAAAAAGAGAGTGAAGTATTTTGAGTCGTTCGTCAAGTGTCTAACCTTTCATTTTTACATGGGAACCCCATGTTATTCTTCTGTTGAAGGAATTTGATTTTCAAAAACCTAAATATGTGGTAATTATCCCATAACAGCTAAGGGGATTTGGCAAGAGTTACGATTTATCTTTTTAAAAAAACGGTACATTTTAGGGCTTTAAAATCTTGGAGCTAAACCTTGATGTCCGAGTCGAAATTTTAGCAACACAATCTCTCTCGATACGTCGTATTTCAGAACTATCTGAGTTTTGAAACCTCTTCATTTTTCTATGACTTTTATTAAAGTTGTCTTAGGAATTTAAGCTTTTTGATTTGTCACTCCTCCGTGAAATTCTTTTTTGTTTAATAACTCATTCATCAAAATTTATCTCTGTTTTTTATCTCTACTGAGAGCTCGGAAATGGATCTATACTACCGTATTTATATATAGCATAGATTATTTAATTTATAGAAGAGAAGAGGAGTGTTCGGTTAAAAAAAAGTGATAATAAATTAATTATATGTATTTATACTCAAAGAACTATGTACGGTACCTTGGACTCTACTTAGACAAAAGACTTACTTGGAACATACATACGAAATTAAAAAGACAAGAACTTACTAGACGATATAGGCAACTTTCACATCTTCTAGACTACAGATCTTCACTTAACTTACGAAACAAGCGACTGATCTACAACACCTTACCGAGACCAATATGGACACATGGAGCAGAACTTTGGGGTTCAGCAAAACAAACACACATAAACAAAATACAAACAGCACAATCAAAATTTTACGGAAAATTGTTAACGCACCTTGGTACATTTCAAATACTACTATACATAACGACATAAGCACCCCAACAGTAAAATCGTACATCCACGACAAATACACTACATTTCATTCTTCAACCCAAAATCACTCCAATCCTCTGGTTCTTTCTATCTCCTGTTCCCTGTTATCTGAACAACGCAGATTAAAAAGAAAATATCCAAGAGACCTACTATATCAACAAAAACCATATAAGCAAAGACAATACAAACACAACAAATTTGCTAGATGCGCAGCCGCGCAGGTGCAAATTGCATAAAATATATAAATAAATATGTATTTTTATATATTACATTTATTTATTTTTATAAATAAGAAAAAGATTTTTATTTTTTATATAAGTATAATTTATTTACTTTTACGTTGTTTTTTTTTTACTGAGCACCCCAACCAACGTAATGTTATCCTCAATTATTCACTACAGTCAACCATCAATCCACTATTATTTAATTTAATTATTTATAGTTTAAATTGAAGAAAGAGTGTTGAATAAGATTGAGCGAAAATTATACTCCTTCAATCAGCTTTAACTTCGTCCGACAGATTGGCAGTGCAGCTTAGCAATAGCAGACGATTGCTCGGCCGGTTGTAGAACGTGTAGTGGTAATGAAAAGGCTGGAAGCTAATGGTTGAGGGGAGCCAATGAGAGGAATGGGCAATCTGGAGGAAGGCAAGAAAGCAGGGGGGGGATGAGGGATTGGACGGGGGCAATTTGTAGCCAATGTGTGGGCGGGGGATTTGCCAAGAAAAGGAGGCTTTGCTGGAAACCTCGCAAGGCTCCAGCTTTGTTCGGATCCGGGCAACCCCGTCTTCTTTAATCAAAGCCCTCCGGCACAAAGGCGAGGCCGGAGTTTCTTCATATCGTTTTCTCCTTTCAGGCAAGGACTAATCGTATCGCGCTACATTTTTTTTTATGAATTACTGTGTCTTGTATGAGTATAGACTCAGACTTCGGGTTGAAGGAGAAAGAATATTGTTTCCCTCCCCCAATAATTTGAAGTAAAAAAAAAATATATATTCATTTATAAATAAGCTTCATGAATGAATAAAATATGTAAACTAAAATCGATTAGGAAAAGTCGACTAGCTGACAGGGCTTGGGACTAGTATTAAACAAATAACTCTTTTATCGATACCTAAATGTTGGTTTTATTTAAATTGCCGTTTATATTCAAAGATGTATCGGCATGTCCAAGAATTTTACGATTCACTCACCCTAAAATTTCTCCTGATATTCTTATCACATTTTGACAAACTAGTCGGATTGTGAACATATTTTTATTTATTTATTTGAGGTTGTACACTTTAAGAATTTAAAGATATTTGTCACTTTTTTACATTATCCATTTGTAGCTGAAAAAGTTCTAGATATGTACCCAAAGACGTTATATACTCAATTCTTTTCTTTTTTTTAATATTTTCAAGTATACATGAGTAAAACAAAATCCTTACAACTATACAAATATATATGTAAATTTATTTTAAATATTCAATTTTATATTGGTTCGTTCCATAATGATTATGTTGAATTTTTACATTTAAAAACTTCCGTCATTTTTTTAAAAAATATTTTATCAATAATATTGGTTGCATATAAAACATATTTAGCGTTTCTTTCCAATTTTATTTAGTTATTGTATGTTTTTGTTTTTTATACCAATATCGTAATATTTTAACCCTTGTACCGATTCAAAACTATGTATGTACTCATCGTATTACTTAAATTTTAGTTACCCTTTATTATAATAGGTCATCTGGCCATATTTATTGTCAATTGGTTTGAACAATATCATTATTTTCAAGGGACTTAGTCCTAGAATAAAGATCATTTTCTATTCTATTCTATTGCATTTTTACTGTTAATTTTAATTATTTTTAATTTTTCTATATATATTCCTATTATTTAAATTCATTTATATTTTCTATATTATTATGACAATTATAATTGTCCTTAATTAGGACTGAAAGTAATTTTTCTGAATAAGGACAGATTTCTTAACAGCATTGCTTATAATATATAATGCAATGAATCCTTTTCATTCATTTACCTTGAGACATGTATAATTAGACAGTGAAAGAAAACTACGCGTTGTATCATATTTGCGAGTTTCGTTTGTTTTCTAGTCTTTGTTGAAAGAAATGATTGAGGTGAGAATTGCAGCTTGTTAGTTC